TTTATCGGAATCATGCGATCCTCAAGTCGACTGATCAACATTCGATTAATTACACCCAAAATAAGTCGGTCTGAGTCGTGCCGAGAATCGACTTGTTTCGTGTCGAATTGACGGCATGAATCAAGTCGGACGTGGACAGATGCAAACTGGAATATTGATCTGATTTAAGTTGATTTTTCGACTTGATTCAGATTGACTTCAGCTTCTTTCAGGTCGATTTTTCCGTTTGATTCAAGCCGATTTTTCGGTTTGATTCAAGTGGATTTTTCGGTTTGATTCAAATTGATTTTTCGGTTTGATTCAAGTTGATTTTTCGGCTTGATTCAAGTGGATTTTTCGACTTGATTCAAGTCGATATTTCAGTTTGATTCAAACCAATTTTTCGGTTGGATTCAAGCCGATTTTTCGGTTTGATTCAAGTGGATTTTTCGACTTGATTCAAGTCGATATTTCAGTTTGATTCAAACCAATTTTTCGGTTGGATTCAAGCCGATTTTTCGGTTTGATTCAAGTGGATTTTTCGACTTGATTCAAGTCGATATTTCAGTTTGATTCAAACCAATTTTTCGGTTGGATTCAAGCCGATTTTTCGGTTTGATTCAAGTGGATTTTTCGACTTGATTCAAGTCGATATTTCAGTTTGATTCAAACCAATTTTTCGGTTGGATTCAAGCCGATTTTTCGGTTTGATTCAAGTGGATTTTTCGACTTGATTCAAGTCGATATTTCAGTTTGATTCAAACCAATTTTTCGGTTGGATTCAAGCCGATTTTTCGGTTTGATTCAAGTGGATTTTTCGACTTGATTCAAGTCGATATTTCAGTTTGATTCAAACCAATTTTTCGGTTGGATTCAAGCCGATTTTTCGGTTTGATTCAAGTGGATTTTTCGACTTGATTCAAGTCGATATTTCAGTTTGATTCAAACCAATTTTTCGGTTGGATTCAAGCCGATTTTTCGGTTTGATTCAAGTGGATTTTTCGACTTGATTCAAGTCGATATTTCAGTTTGATTCAAACCAATTTTTCGGTTGGATTCAAGCCGATTTTTCGGTTTGATTCAAGTGGATTTTTCGACTTGATTCAAGTCGATATTTCAGTTTGATTCAAACCAATTTTTCGGTTGGATTCAAGCCGATTTTTCGGTTTGATTCAAGTGGATTTTTCGACTTGATTCAAGTCGATATTTCAGTTTGATTCAAACCAATTTTTCGGTTTGATTCAAGTGGATTTTTCGGCTTGATTCCAGTCGATTTTTCAGTTTGATTCAAACAAATTTTTGAGTTTGATTCAAGCCGATTTTTCGGTTTGATTCAAACGGTAGGCGGAAAAATGACGGAAAATGATCGGTCATTTTGTCGGTTCCCACGCCCAACGCTTGTTACTACCCATTGTCTATTTTTTCCTTCGGCTATTTTTTCGTACATTCGATTCAAACCGATGTTGGCTTGACACGTTTCTACTTGAAAGAAACCACTTTTCGACTTATATCAGACCCGGAATCCGGATTGTCGTAGTCCGAGTATTTTTTTTGGGTGGACATTTTTTTTGTTACCGTTCGCGTTTTAATTCTTCCCAACATCATACCTCCACAGGCATAACAATTAAGCGATCAAAAATGTCGATACACAACTAATTACTACCCTATAAACTTGTGTCCATCAAACTGGGCAGAACAATCGGTGTTAAATAAGCTGCGGTTAGTTACTCAACTCCGTGCTGTACCACCCCTAGTTCCCGATGCGCAGCTTTTGAGAGACCAATTAGTAGACATTGGAGGGTAACGTAAGAGGAGACGAAACTTTGCCTGAGGAACTTTGCCACCGGATCGTAGTGGTATTTCGAAAATTAACGGGAGGAATATCTAAGTGTATCGGCCAGTCTCCGTGCGCCGTGTACAAAGGTCGCTATTGAATATACTGTCGTACGCAGATTTCTTGTTTTGCCCACAGTTTAACATTTACGACTACCTCAGCCAGAAAAGCCAATATATACAAGGAAGGGACGGAGTTGTTCCGACCCCTTTGCATTTCCCTATCGTTGGCAGAATTGTGGAGTTTTTTCTTCTCGTTCTCTCTCAACTGCTGCTGTTCTCGTGTGTATTCGATGATAATGGAAATTTTTGCTCGCTTGCTGACCAATCGCTTTCGATCATTCTCTCGTGGATCTTTTCATCTATTGCTAATTTATTGTAATAAACGACTTTTCAAGAGGAATGGAGAGCAGGGATGGCCATCAATATTAAAAGGATTTGAGACTTACATTGATAAGTGTTTATATGTACTCATCAAAATTAAAAAATAATATAATATTAATGGTTTGAATTTCCGATTAATGATGCATTAAATATTTGATAATATCGAACTGTAAATTTTCCATTGAGGGAATATTTCTAATTTCTTAAAAGGGATCATCGATTAACCACATAATCGGCAATCTTCTTATCTAAAGTATTAGTTAATAAAATAGTTCAAAATGTGAATGTTCAAATTGATGATTACTTAAATAATTGAAAGTTTAAGAGTGATGTTAACTAATTGCTGGCTTTAAACTTTAATGGTAATTATGATTTATGAATATGGCTATCCCTGATGGAGAATCAATCCACGTATGAAAAAATTCATTAGAGAAAAAAAAAAATTCCATTGGAATTCTCTAGAAATTCTATTGGGATTCTATTAAAATGTTAGGGAATTCTCGTTAACATTTTATTTGTTTTTGCGCTGATGCGATTAGATATTTGATAGGAAAAAGTCAATAGATTTCGACTTTTCCATATGAATATTTTTTTGATTTTTTTCTATAAGAATATTTGGGCATGAATTTTTCAAGTTTTTTGCACTCGGATCATGTAATGCGAAACAAAACAAAATATAGCGAAACAAATTTAGAAAATTCCTGCCCAATGATTTTAATAGAAAAAATCTCAAGAGAAAAATTCAAACAGAAAAGTCGAAATCTATTGATTTTCTTCTATCAAATATCTAATTGAATCTGCGCAAAAAACAAATAGAATTTTAGTGAGAATTCCCTAGAATTTTAGTGGAATCCCCATAGAATGTCTGGAGAATTTCACTAGACTTTTCCAGCGGTTTACGTTTTCGCCTTTCCTCTGCTCAAATGTTCAACGTTTTTTTCATTCTATTTTCCTTTTTTTTTCAACAAAAGAATCAAACAAAAAAATTTGGAAAATTTGAGCCGAGAAAATTCTATCGAAAATATCTCAATAGAATAAGTTGTATAGAAAATCGAATTCTATTGACTCTGAGAAAACTTTATCACAATTGAATTCATTACCCGAGAAAAATTCTGGAAAAAGAGGACAGAAATTTTTTTAGAATATCTCCAGTGATTTACGTTTTCGCCCTCATGAAGCCAGCTGCATTAAGATTGAGAGATCCGGCCAGTGGGCAGTACCCACCCAAGAGCCACAGACAGGATACTTGGTTAAACTGCCCCAGGTGGTGTCGGTTCTACCGTGTAATAGTGAAGTAGAAGGTGGATAACGAGAGAAACCAAGAATGTATTCTATCTCTTTTACCCGCTACCTTAAAACATTTACCAACGATGCAATTAAAGATTTCACGCTCCACGACGAGACTAACTCTGCATAGGAGGTGCCTCCACGATGTCCCGAGTAATTGCCCGGGGGGTATTTTTGGTGCATCGAATTTTCCCTCTCCCCGCAACACTTTTCTCGGTGTTCATGCCTCCTCGAATGTAGCGTTTACCCGCGTGATTAATGTAGCTTCATACATGAGCCAGCTGGAATTATATTTAGACAGTATATGCCTCGTAGCTGATTGTGATGAGCTGAAGGCATCGAGTGTAATTATACGACAGGAGATCCTGTTTTGTGCGAGAAAGTGATATTATTAGCATATGAAATTATACTTAATGGAGTTGAGATAGAAAATTGAGGAAGGAAGAATGGGCAGAATGAGATATTTTTGCAAGTGTCTTTGATATTCTATATCAAAGACACTTGATATGAACGGTTTCTATCTATAATAGATGCATCTATAAAATTATTATATAAATTATTATAATTTACCTCCCTGTTAAAATTTGTTATTTATTATTTGTTATATTTTATTCTGCAATAATTTTTCACGCGTCATTTATTCAAAAGTAAATATTTCGCAGGACTTGTATTCCTAAAAAATATTTTCCACAATATTTTTTCCAAGAAGTTTTCTCCCAAGGAATTTTGGGCGGACACCAATCCGAATAGTTAAGAAGCCTCGGGAGTAAAAAAATCTATTGAAAGGCGGGAAAAACTTTGCGCCATGAAGTCTCAGACAAGAGGGAATGGAAAAATATGAGAGATGATTCATAAAATTTGTTCTTTTTATATATTCAGAATGAAGGGAGTGGGGGATTATTTGAAAAGGAAAATTAATTTTAAAAAATGTTCAAAAACACGAAGTGGCGGCGCCGCCATCTTCGGATGATAGCCTGGTGATAATATAGAGATTGAATGTATCGATCGGTAAAATATCTTGAAGAAAAAAAAGTACCGATCAACCATTACGCCCCATCCCTCGACAAAATGGCGGCAATTCTCAAAGTGGAATAGTGACCGAGAGTGTCGCCCTTACTTCCCATTCACATTCCCCAAACTTTCTCCCCATCTCAGGCTTAACAAAATAACGTCGTACATCGTTATCAGCAGCTTACATTCCACTGAGACTAGAACGAGAGAAACAGAGAAAGGGCTAGGTAGCACGTAGAATTGCAGTTGACTCGGTGAAAATGGAGGGAGCAATGGTGTTATCTTGCAACGAACAGTTAAAGGATTTCCTCCGAGTTTCCATGATGCCAAGAAAGTGGTATAAATAATTAACAGAACAATTATCTTAATGCCATTAAATGCTTCCATTAGCATGAATTAAGGATTTAGTAGTAAACCAGTGAATCTGTAAATTGATAATGAGAGGGAGGTGAAATCAAGGAGCTGAATAATCCAACAACATGATTATTTATTCTTTCATCCTTTATTTCTCTATTCACAGTCAATAAATTAACAATGATCGAAATCATTACAAAGACTCAAGATTTTTTCGTTTAATTTTTTTCAATTTCCCACTGTTACCCTTCTGTCAGATTCTGTAACCACTAGTCCCGCAATGAATCAATAAATGGATCATATAAAAAGTAACGCACACAATGGCGCAGCTAAAAAATGTTTCAATTTCTTTTATTGTTTCGTATTTTTGCATTGCTCTTTATTTACAAAAATTTTCCCCCCCAATTAGCAATTACGGACTAGATTGCTAAAATCTATACGAATGTTACTTCTTTAATTTCAGACATCAATCGTACGACACCATTGGATGATATTTTTCTTCTTTCGATGAATGCGAAGTCTTTGATTGAGGAAGAATTGATAATCGGATGGGTTACAGGTATTCCCTTCATTCTTCTGGATTGCAATTACTACGAAAAATGATGAATTTTACACCAAAACTACTTGCGCGCTTTCAATATCATTCTTGTCGAGCTAATAAAATCACTATCGTGTCTATTTTCTTTCTCTTTCATTTATTAAATTGTAATCTCATAAACTCGTCACTGATTAACATCTTAATTATTTTCATCTTCATTATTCTCTACGCACTGCATTTTTTTTGTGATCGATGGAACGGATAAATTCTATATGTAGCAACATCACCGAAGCCTGTCAGTCAACTCAATCCAGATAAAAATGAACTAATATTTGTTATCAATTAAAAATTGTCCCCAGAATTCACTCAACACCCATTGGGACATTATCATGAGACACCGGGCTAGTTTATCGTTTGATTGAGTCATTGGTAAGCATGTACATCTGTTTAAACTAACCTCTACGCAACTCGATAATGATGGAAAAATGTAAACATGCAACGATTAAGTGGAATTCGTTAATTGTTGACTTTTATTATTCAACATATTCAATTTCATTCATACTTTATTTATTTACAAATTCAATTGTTCATTCAGTTATAAATTACACTATACAGAGACGCATAAGATCCAACTTTTACTCATTAATATATTCATATATCTGTAAATGTTATTTTTAATTTTCGTTTGTGTTTTATTTTTTTCCATCAATCTATGAGATAGAATCTAGTCTTGAGTTTTGGCAAAGTTAAATCCGATACGAGAAACATATTATTCATTATCATTTCTCGTTGCTCAATATTTACATGTGTCTGTCTACCTACTTTTCCCTTCGTTTTTCACGTTTAACTTTTAATGATTAATTACTATTTTTGGTGATATACAGTATATACACTGTCATCGTTTATTGAATTAATAACAACGATGACAGAAGATTGTCGATCGTCAGTACTCAATACAATTTAAGCTGTTTAGCTGGCGATCACCAAATACAACATATAAAAAGAAAAAACAATATCAAAACATTTTTTAATAAATTATCGAGATATGTTATTATTCTAGATTAATCAGTTTTCTTACTTTCGTTGTTAAAAAAATGTATAAAAGAATGGATTTGAGCGATTCTATTGGCAGTTCTGATTGATGGAGTATCGTCAGTTGATGACCCAAGTTGGTCTCATTTATTGTTGATTAAAAAAATTAAATAATTGAATTAAAACAGATGAAAGCAGACGAGAACTGTTCTATACAAGTTGAAAATCTCTTGATATTTCCTGCTCATTAATTTATTGCAATAATCCTTCAATCCTACCTAAATCGATCTACTATCACAAGTATACCTCACTGAGTCAGTGGTATACCCTAGGCCTTTCCCCTCGTTCCAACGAGCTTTACAAAGATCCTCCACATTTACCATATCTCTTTGAAGTTAAATAAGGACGTCTTTTTTCCTGAATATCTCGTGAGCATGGGGAAATAAATTGGCCATCAAATGGCTTTTCTATTTCCATCCTATCCTCATTCCCTTTCTATCCTCAAGAGTTGCGATCGGAACGTAATGGAATTTATTTGACTGTTTGATTTTTCATTGAATGAAATAAAAGGGTTTCAACAAAATAATCGAAAAAATCGTTAATGAATAGAGAATTTGCATGAACCTCAGTTTTTAATGGGAATAGGACTCAGTCCATAATTAATTTGTTGGTCATGACGTCACAAAGTCACAGTTATAGTTCTCCACTAGCCGATGCGCGCGCACTCTAGGTTGAATTAGGCTGAATACGTTTTACGATTGGTTGGGCCTTAACCAGAGCTTGTAATGTTATTGGCTATCAATGCCTGACCACTTTTTCGAACCTTGTTGCTGGAGACATGATCTCGGAATAAAAAATTGAGAGAAACTCATACAAGTTCCTTAGTTCATTTTGATTCAGAGGAATTAATTAATTAAAATATTAAGGACAACTACTATCATTCTATTTACTCGATCCTTGCAACGTAAGTGAGCCCCTGGCAAAGTTGCCAAATGTCTTTATTGGTGAATCAACAACAGGTGTTACGACGGTTTTATCAAAATAATCGAGAGAAGTTTCGAAGAATTGTGAACTTGCATGCACCTCATTTTTCCCTTGCAATATAGCCAAGGTAATCATTAATCAAAAAAAAATTGACAATTCATTAAAAATCAGTCGTTTTCGAGATTAACATGTTGGTTATCACGTCACAAAGTTAGAGTTGTAGTTCTCCACTGGCCCATTCGCGCGCACAGCCTAGGTTAGAGTAGCCTGAATACGTTTTTCTAGCGTTTTTATTCTAGTCATAATTTCGGAATAAAAAGGTAAAAGAAACTCATGCGAATTCCCTTGTTCATTCTGATTCAGACAAATTAATTAATTAGAATGTCTACGGATAACTACTCTCATTCTATTTACTCGATCCTTGTGACGTAGGTGAGCCCCTGGCAAAGTTACCAAATGTCTTAGTTGGTGAATCAACAACAGCTGTTACGAGTACTTTGTCCCTGGGTGGTGGTGCTGAACTGATACTAGACGAACTAACACCAGAATCACTTGACTTTTCACTCAAACATCCCCGCTGATTAATACTGGCTGTTGCAACTGTTTCACACCCAATACCAAGATCACTGCTACCACCAACTCCATACTTAGATATTGCCAATTTCCCAGGGCTCACATCATCCCCGATAACAACAGTTTCCCCAAAATTACCCCGTTTGGCGATAAATCTGACGTTACCAGTGCCTGCACGCAATTGTGGAGATTTCTCGAATTGTCCCTCCTTGGCTGCAGCACCGGAATTTGAGATGTTCGGATGGTAATCGTCTTTGGCGTCAACGTGGACAGTTGCTTCGCTGCATTTTTGTACGGCTGATGAATTGAGATTATTCTCACGAGAGAGTTTTCCGGTTTCGGGGCTTATTGTACGCCGAGGATTCTTGTGGGCGTCGTAGCAGCCAGAGTCCCGGGGAAACTGACGACGATTGAAGGGTGAACAGTGGCCTGGAGTTTGACTTGTCAGGGCTAAACGGTTCATCTCGTCGCCTTCGGAACTCGAGGCTAAGTCACCTTCACTTCCGGCTGTTGAAGAATTCATTAAATGGGTTCATTATTGACTCCTTACTTTGTGGATTGTTCAATTTTAGAGTGTATGAGGAAGGATTGTATAAGGTTTCAATGATTGAGAAGAATTGAAGATGTGGTGGGATTAGAAATAGATGGATATGATTATGTTGTCAAGTCGAGTTCACTGCTAAATGAGGTTTTGTTAAGCTAGTCTGGCGGCGCGTTCTCGCGCATCTCTATGACGTGAGAATAGACAAATGGGATGATAGACTCAGTCACAAGTCTGACAGGATGGTGATTTTTCCGGAGATTTGGTTTGAAAAAGTAAAAGAAAATAAGCCGTAACAATGAGAAGAACTATAAATGTTGAAGGAGGACTTAAATCGACCTTGTAATACAGCTATATTGGTAGATTGGTAGATACCTATTGGTTAATGCTGAAATTTGGTTGAGGTTCCTTGAAGTATTTTATTCCGAGTAGATAACTTTGGTTTATACCAGACAGTCTGAAGCAATTTCACAGGGAAAATGGATTCTTTGATTTTAGTGTTTGAGAGAGGATAGTGAAAGATTTCAATGATTGAGAAGAATTGAAAATATGGCGGGATTCGAAATAGACGAAAATGATCAGGTTGTCAAACGGTTGAAGTCGAGTTCACCTCTAGTTGATGTTTGTTAAGTTAGTTTAGCGGCGCGTTCTCGCGTGCCTTTAGGACGTGAGAATAGACAAATAGGGGGACAGACTGGAGGTTTTCCCTGAGATGTGAAATGACAATGGTTTGAAAAAGTAATAGAAAACAAGTCCTAGTAATGAGACAAATTACAAAAGATGAATGAGCATCTAAACCAATCCTGTAATACAGCCCATGTTGAGGTCTAAAGCAATTTTATGAGGATAATCAATTGTTCAATTTTGGACCCTTTGACGGAGGATTGTAAAATATTTCAAGGCTCTCGTGTGCCTCTATGACGTCAGAATAGACAAATAGAATGACACTTAGTCAAGAGTATGACAGGCCGAAGATTTTTTCTGAGATGAAAAAGTAAGAGAAAATAAGTCCCAACAATGAGAAAAAAGACGAAAGTTGATAATCTTTGAGTCGAGAAGACATTATTGAAATTCAGTTATTCCAAGTATCGAATACTTACACTGGAGATCATGAAGTAACTGCACAGCAGTGAGAATCTTAGCCCTGTGCTCTGGATGATGAATACGCAGATAATCAAGGTCTGCTGGCTCGAGTTCCCGGAATAGTTCCAGGTCCTCATATCCATTTAGAACAAACACCGGTATGTGTTCCTGCAATTGAATTGCAAAACAAATTTCAATAACCGTTAAAACCTCTTCACCATTTATTTAATGACAATATTGTCACGGTCTCTACTTCCTTATATATTCATTCGTTAATGTTATTCATGGAAATTTGAGGGGATAACGTCTCGGAATCGCGAGCAAGAAGAAGAAAATCGAGAATTATGTTGAGGCCACATTGAGATACTGCCAGAAAAAATTGAAAAAAATAATCCGAGTCAGTAGATAAGATGAACAGAAAAGAAGAAATAGGATGGATGGAGGTGAAAGGATGGGAGAAGAGGGAGAACCGTAAATCCTGCTTTGCATTCGGAGTGATGCAAATGTAAATCGTTCAGAGTTGGGTGCAAGATATTGTCTCTCTGGAAAAAAAAAAGAAATAAAAAGAAAAACTCACCTGAAGATTCATTCTCTGTAAGAGCTCTTGAACTGAACCTGGTTTTTGTCTATATCTCTGTCCCCATTTACCTCTCTCAGGCTCACCACGACGAGGCACTCGTTCGTTCAGTATCTCAACATTTATAAACTTGAAGTGGCCAATACGACTGTGAACCACTCCTTTCCAGAGGCCACTTGTATTCATCTGTACTACATCGATCACATCGCCTTTCTGAAATAGGAGAATCAAACGAAATGGTGTTTTATTTCTTTTAGCCGGTATTGAAGCCAGTGAGGAAGGTGAATCGCATTCTCATGAACTTTGGTGAGAGCATTAAATAAATAAACTATGAGATGGGTTGACAGGAGTTTTTCTGTGGTCTCGGCTCTGCGCCTGATGGAGATGAAAATACAGTACAGCTGAAGATCCACAGGAACATGTATAGAAAACGGGACTATATGGGAAAGAGAACCACAAATTTATGTGTGAACATCTCATCGACGCAGTATGAGTCAATAAGTTATGGTATTCTTGAGGGTGAGGAACGGTGTGAAGATTTATGTGATTAGAAATATTATTTAAAGAATGATTTTTAAATGATTTGTAGAAGAATATTCACTCTCGTTCAAGAAGAATATTCATCTCGTTGTGCACTGGACCTGTTTTTGAACAGAATTACTCCGTTTTCCGGTGCCCGATAAGATGTTTACACATAAAAAAAACCAAATTGTACCCCTCGAACATCCTTAACCACTCGGCCTACCTTAAACTTCAATGCGTCTTTGTCATACGGACTAGGTGTACAATCGACGAGTGCTTTGGCTCGACAGAGTACAGGTCCAATGGATGTTGGACTAGTAGCATCTCTATCCTCACAAGATATAGAGCTGTGATTGCTACCAGCTCTCACCAATGCCTGTGTACTCGATCCACTACCACTGGGTAGGCTCTCAACACTACTCGCACTGCATGGAAATGCCTCGGAGGACGCTCTGTCTTGTCTCAGCCTCGTAATTTTCCTCTGCACATCATGCCTCAAATTCCTCGCTCTCCCTGCTATCCCGGCTCTCGCATCACCCTCCAGAAGAGCACTGGCCTCCGACTGTAATGCATAATCAGTCAATTCTGTATTAATAATCATCCTCACTCTCCCTATAAGAACAAAAACAATAAAAAACTGTCCAAGTCTCGTGGTTGTGCAGCGTCAAATGAACAAAAATATTTCAAGAATCGTTGATTCATTAATCATCATGTCGACTTGTCGGTGGATTTGTGTCAGTATGTTGTACAGGAATGTGCTGAGTATGTTATGGAAATACATCATGCAACCCTTGGGTATTGAATTAGTGCAATTACTAGAAATGATTAATGCAGGGTTCAATAGCTTAACAGGAGAGACCGTAGAATGAAAAGGAGATTGGAGAGAACGTACTGTATGAACGGCTGCCGAGTGTTGATTCTCTAATTCCTCCTGGTCCTCGTAATCACTCGATTGGCTTGGCGATAAACCCTCCTCACCGCTGCTCCGACTCTAAAAATCCATTCGTACTTGGAGAATAGAGATCTAAGCGAAATGATTCAGTGACCGAGTGCTAAATTTTCGTAAGTCAAATGATCAATTTTATTGAAAATGGTTTCTGATTTCACTATTTACGTAAACCAATATTCTCGTAACGTTTTATCACTTGATTACTGAATCCAGATGATTAAAGAATTAGGAGAAGTGAAATAAAAATAATAGCGATTGAATAAGAGGATTTCAAAGCGAGGCGATTATTAATGAATAACTAATGATTGTGGCAGAATAGTGTTAATGAAGATGAGATTACAGTTTAATTACTTATTCAGTCGTAATTTGCGTCTGTCTGTAGCAGCGGTGGAGCATTTGCGGGGTCCAAATATAGTAGGAATGTTAAATTTCAAGGGATATTATGATAATTTAAACAGAAATTGAAATGCGTGCAAGACAACTCTCTGATGATGATGACTCTAGGTGTGATTAATGACCTAGGTGATTTCTTCCAACAACTTCAACTCATAAACACGTTTCTAAATACAGCGGGAGGTGAGCGATTTGCTTTTTTTATCAAGCNACTTGGCGTTTCTCCTCTTTTTGGGTATACAACTTGCGTAAGATAGTCCAAACATCGGGAACAAACACCCAGGGGTTCAACCGACGTCTCAAGCGGGGGGTAGGGGGGGGGGGGGGGGGGGGGGGGGGTGAGTATTGTCGGTACCTGTGTGATGGGAGTAATCATGAAGATGATGATCAACAGATTTTCAAGATATCATGGGGAGCTCAGGAAGTTTCAGAATTTTCGCCAAAAATTTCGTTGTCTGTCTCATTAACAGAATCAAATGAACCCAATGAGAAGAAAATTTTCTAATATCTTCAACATTTTCTTGAGACAAGTAAATTTTCTTCAATTGCTTAATTCTCTCAGGCATCTGAACTCACATGATCCGAGAAAGGCCTCATGCTTCAAAAATATTCTTGTACTCAAGTATGATTTTGTCGCAAATGAACTTACTTAAATCGCGTAGAAGAATCGTCAATCTTCTAGTCTTTATTGTTTTCATGATTTTTTCGTTATGCACTTCCAATATTGCAATATGTGAAATATTCATGACGTAACGCGGAACCATAGTGATGAATGAAAATTTATTCCAGTTCCGTGAAGTGCACACATTCTGAGATTTAAGCCATTGAAAATAATTTACTTCTCTCAAGAAAATATGTTTCAGATATTAGAAATTTTTTTTCTCAGTGCGGGAATGACATTTCTATCAATTAATCAACTTGCTAATTTATTTTAATTCATGCTCTTAATATATGATTCAGGTTATATTCAGGTTATTCTAACACGCGAATGACCCAGATATTATTGTTCATCAGCAGAGAGACGATTTATTCTACATTCATGAAATCTCCATGACTTTTTCCAATTAATTATTCAACAGCACCGAAACACCAGTGATGTCCAATTAATTAATTACTCATCCCTAATGGAATTGTGTATTTGGGGATCGAGGCGATAATTGAAAAATCACGTTAGTGAGCTTGCACGTGAGTTCAATCTTCAGAAATAGGTTAAAAATCGTCACGTCCTGGATAGACATGCATAGTATGATCGAGGGAGTTTCACGTGTGGTACACATGTGGCCTTCATCCCCTTAATCTGCACGTCTCAAAGACCCATTCACGGAAAATCCATATTCATGAGTTTCTAGGTACTTCGTATGCTGGTAAACACTAAATATACATCAGAATTATCGCTTGTTTTACGATGGAGATGTTGTATCTCATGTTGGTCGGGTCCGGGGTAGCTATTAGTGCGTCAAGCACAGCCGTCTGGGTCGAGCGAAATAACGACAGTGTTTGAATGCTGTTTAGAGAAATTCAACGAGGAGTTGAGTTGACTGGACTTGGAGCTTAGGAACTTTGATTCAGAGTTGAATTGACTCATGTCGTTGAGTCAACTCCACCTTTTTTTGATAAATTGTCGATACCCGTAGAAGGTTATCATTGAAATTTCGTTACCTTCATTGGCTTCGAATGTATTCATGAAAAAATCAAGTCGGATTTGAGTTGACTTCAAACTCAAACTCAAAGGAAAGGTGGGTGGACTTGACTCAAAGTTGAGTAGACTCGGCGCAAAGTTTTGTGAAACTAACTTTCAGTTGAACAGACTTGACTCAAAATTGAGTGGACTTGACTCAAAGTTGAGTCAACTCAACATAAAATTAGCTCAGCTCAAAGCTGAGGAAACTCAATTCAAAGTTGAGTTGACTCAAAGTTGAGTATAGACTCGACGCAAAATTTTGTGAAATTAACTCTAAGTTGAGCAGACTCGACTTAAAATTGAGTGGATTTAACTCAAGGTTGAGTCAAGTCAACATAAAGTTAACCCAACTGAAAGTTAAGGGAACTCAACTTAGAGTTGAGTAGACTCCAATCGAAGTTAGTCGGGATCGATTCAAAGTTGAGTAGACTCGACGCAAAGTTTTGTGAACATAACTTCAACTTGAGCAGATCTGATTCAAGGTTGAGTAAATTTGACTCAAAATTGAGTGAACATAAAGTCAACTCAATTTAAAGTTGAGGAAACGCAACTCAAAGTTGGGTAGACTCCAATGAAAGTTGGTTGAACTTGACTCAAAGTTGAAGTGACTCAACTTGGGGTTGAATTCACACAATTCAGAATTGAATTGACGTGAATGTATCTCGTAGAGTCGACTCTAACATCTTCCATCCCTTTCAACTCATCTCGACAATAAGTGTTTTTGAAGAAATGTCAAAAAACAAATTTTTTAACTGACACAATAAAAAAATGTCCTGACATGTTTCCTGAAAATCAGTGGCGGTCAAGTTAGTCCAACATTCAAGAGGACTTTGCTTGCATTATGAATATGATAAATGATTGCAGCCAGGATAAAACATTTTTCTGAACAATGAAACTACCTAAATGACGTGAAATGATGTAAGGGAATGTGTTTTAGCTCTTTTCTCTATCTACAAATATAATTTCTACCCAAAATACGAACATATTCGTGTATGCTACGTTGTGGAATGGATTTCGACGATTTGACCCCTGTACTTGTGATACTAGCTGAGGTAGTTGCTACAGGACGACGTTGATTGCTACAGGGTGACGATGAGTGGCATTGGTAATTGTTGGTTGATTGGTGGCGTTGATAGTGGTACTGGGGACAGTGGTGAAGTTGACCAATCATTATCTTCTCGCTCCTGTCCACCGACACAGTCGACAATCTCGAGTTCACATGCTGCAGTATTTTTTTATTCTGTCATTTCTGAGTTTAACAAATATCTCATTTATGATTGTCTGTTCCACACGGAGAAAAATGTACGTTAGAAGACAATTCAGGCTTATGCTACCAGAAAAATAATTTCCTTGGAAATATTTTTCAATTCACACGGATGAAAAAAATTAATAGAAAAACCTAGCGAATTTGCTAGAAAGTTCTATTGAATATTCTCTATTGAACACTTGAATAGAATCAGCCAAAAACTAATAGAAAGTTCAATAGAAATCCAACAGAATTTTCTAACGAATTCGCTAGGTTTTTCTGTTAAATTTTTCCGTGCGCGCAATATTTCGTTTCAACTGGCTAGGAAAAATCCACATAAAATGTCTGGAATACTTAATACATGGCAGAGATATTTCCGATTGATACATTCAGATAAATTATTCATAATATTTGTTGATAAAAGAAGAATCTCCCACCACTCAATCAAATTCATTTCCCTGAAATTTGAATAACTCAAGCGTTTCCTACTCATCAATTTATTTCAATCCCAATTATCATTTCAAATTGATGCATTTTAATTTCACCTTCGAACCCCACTGCCAACAGATGCAAATAAAATCCTCACTAACGGTTGGAATTTCATAAAAAATTCTTTGATACGAATTTTCATTTTCTCCCTTCGTTTCTTTTTTTTCGATAAAAAATGTGCGTCGTTAGAAATTGATTAAACTATGAATTGGAATGTATATGAAAGCCTTCGGCTTGTGGATGGTGGGGTAGGGGTGGTGAGGTCTAAAATTCTCATATCGATGCAGCGCAAACGATACGATAGGAGGGTTATGGATGAAGTAGAACGCGAAAGGGGAATGGGAATGAAGGGAATACTCTGGAGAGATGCAAAATTTTCATCGGATTCCAGATGGTTCAAACGCTTTCTCTCTTTCTCTTTCTCTCTCTCGTCCACTGTACTTCCACCCTTCATCCCCTCCTTTTCTCACTACCGCCTATTCCCATTGGGGATGAACTCCCGTACTCCTCATACCGAGTCGGAGAAAATTGGCAACGTTCCACGTCGATGAATAGGTTATTCACGTTCGTACTCACGCCAAAGTGTCACGATGCAGCGAAGGGTTATTTTGAAGTTCGATTTTTTAAAAATTATCCTTGTTGATGTGTCCGATACACCACGATCCTAACCTGGCTTCGCTCGATTCAAAATAGCTCTTCACACGTATGGAAAAATCGTATAGAAATTCTCTATACGGATTGCGTATAGAATTTATATAGGATTTTCGTATATGATATTCGGACAGTTCTATACGGATATTTTTTATACAAATTATTTGTATACGAGTTCTATAGGTTTGATCCGATACGACCCACTGCCACATGTATAGACACATTTCGTATGGAGTGGCGACATTTCTCTACGTTTTTCTCTGGAGCGTTTAGATATCTTTCGTATGAAAATAAAAATTTATGGAAAAATTTAGGTATAGAAATAGTTCGCATAGAAAATATTTGTATAGAAATATCCGAATATCATATAGGGAAGGGTGGGGTAAAATGGACACTATACTTTTTTAAAATTATTCATAACTCAGAAACAAATTTATCAATTGAGCTCAAAGAGAAATAATTGTTCTTTGTATTGAAAAAAAAATTATTAAATTTTATCAACATTTCAACCCCTCATTAACATTTTAAAATAATTCAAAAGTGTTCGTTTTACCCCAACCTCCCCTACGGAAATCCTATAGAATTTCTATACGCAATCCATATAGAAAATTTCTATACGATTTCTTCATATGTGCGGGCCCAGAAACATGAAGTAATATTGATCATTCTTCTGAACAAATTACATGAAATGAATTGAAATATATGGGCGGTTTATTGAAACAAAGAGAAGAAATCTTTTTATGAAAGAGAGTCGAGAATAAGTGAAGTCCCAGGTGAGGTTTCAAGAGAAAAATATTCAGGGTTCATTCCGAAATATATTTCAAATTATCCTCATTTGAAAATGAATGGTATCACGTCATTTGTTGAAAGCTTGTCACACTTCTTACTGAGATGATCTCATTTGTCTATTGCCACGTCATTGAGCCGCGTGGAAGCTTACAATAGTATTATTACTGTTTGGAAATGGCACATTTGCCAAATATGCAGATCAAATACTCTGTTCACAATAAAACTGACCATAATTTGCTCATTTTTTTCTATTTTGTCAAGCAGCCTTTTCTAAAAAATTGTGTCATACATATATCGAATCAAATATTATGAATATCTCAAAAGCCTGTCACATTTTTGACTGAGTTTATCTCATTTGTCTGCTGTCACGTCATAGAGGCGCGCGAGAGCGCGCCGTCCGACTATTATATTCAGAAGAAGGGGGAATACAACAGGGTATCATTCCCTAGTTGGAAATCGCATATTTACCAAATATGATGCAGTGTAATTAACATGCAGAACCAAATACTAATAATTTTCTCATATTTCGATCATTAGTCTTTCTGTTTTGTCAAACAGTAACACTTCGAAGTGGTTGAAAGACTTCGTTTATCTGTTAACATCGAACAATTTTTCTGTTTGGATAATTTATTTGAATCCAATCACCGAGTACAAAATTTTGTTTATTTTTCCTGGTGAATCAATCACTTTCAAAGTGAATTATTTCTGCTTTGATATTTCATCGTAAAATTCTGGAAATAGCATATTTTATTTGATCTCAACAGATACATTATCAGATAGAAATTCAATGAAATAAACCGGATGATGGCAAATAAACAGAGAATTTGAAATTAATGAATTATTCATCCGCTCTTAATTAATTGCTTTCAGGGGGAATCCATTTAGGTGAAATAGATATTAAATTTTCAATGAATCCATTAGTTTGATTCAAATAACTCATTCTTTCTGGGGGTTTAGCTGACCGGATCTGCAATAATCATCATCCAAGGCTACAGCGTTTAACGAGAATTGAGATGTGTCTAATATAATCTCGAATAAATAATATCAATTGCATTCCCCAGTCCTGGATTCAAACCTCCACACACGCATTTGTCAGGAACAAATGGCAAAACAAGCCAATAAAAATGGAAACAGGAGTGGCAAGGGAGAGGATTGATTAATTGAAAACAGCGGGATGTACTTGACTGACCTGTACGTCGCTGCTGGCGTAATCACCACTCTCGCGTGATGCTCTGGAATGCGTGAGTGGAATGATGGTTGGTGGATTGTTGTGTCCCTGAGGGACAATGAGACCTCTCATTGTCGACATTGCTGCTTTTCGTGAACGATCACGGGGGAGGCTTATGTCACCCGCTGTCCGAAGGGATATCACACCCTCACCACGATTCTCGGGTCGAAGGTTTAGGGTGAAGCACACTCTGGAAGAATCAGGGCTTATATTAATAGTTCTTCTTTAATCAGAGATTCTTCATCATTTCGTGATGATTTATGATTTTTCCGGCAATTTTTTCGGCAAAATCGTTTATTTCATCGGGATTATTATGAGAAAATTGCATGTTATTTATAAAAATCGGGATTTTTAGATTGATTTTTACATATTCATTAATAAATAAAGTTAAAAAAATGTTTTTTTCCAATTCCTCCGAAGGAATCAAGGCTTATATTAATACTTCTCCCTTAATCAGAAATGATTTATCATTTTTTGATGATTAATGTTTTTTGTTGGACTTTTTTCCTCAAAATCCTTCATTTCAACATGATCATTTCGAGAAAATTGCGTATTCCTCGTAAAAACTATGATTTTTCAATGGATTTTTATATATTCATTAATCCTGAAACTTGAAAAAATTGTTTGTCTTTCCAATTCCACCGAAGGAAACGGCTCATATTAATACTTCTTACTTAATCAGAGATCATTTATCATTTTTGATGATTTATGTTTTTTGTTGGATTTCTTTCGTCAAAATTCTTTATTTAATTAGGATTATTTTGTGAAAATTGCGTCCTATTGATAACAATAACAATTTTTTGATATATTTTTATATATTCATTAATCCTTAAAGTCTAAAAAGTGGGTTTTTCCCATTCTACCCAAAGAATTAAGTCCTATTAAGGATGATTCATCATTTCATGATGATTTATGATTTTTGTTGGATTAATTTCGCCGAAATTCATTATTCCATTAGGGTTATTTTGCAAAAAATGAGCGATTCATGAAAATGATGATTTTTTAATTAATTGTTATATGTTCACTACTCCTTAAAGTCTAAAAAATGTTTTTCGCGTCATATTTATAAAAATAACAATTTTTTGATATATTTTTCTATATTCATTAACCCTTAAAGTCTAAAAAGTGGGTTTTTCCAATTCCACCCAAAGAATTACGTCCTATTAAGGATGATTCATCATTTCAAGATGATTTATGATTTTTGTTGGATTTTTTTCGTCAAAATTCTTTATTCCATTAGAGTTATTTTGCAAAAAATGAGCGATTCATGAAAATGATGATTTTTTAATTAATTGTTACATGTTCACTACTCCTTAAAGTCTAAAAAATGTTTTTTTCCCATTCCTCTTCAGAATATTTACCTTCCATTTTGAATAGTAGCTGTTGGCACAGGTCCCCCACTGGCACCCATGAGGAAATCTTCAGGATCAGATTCATAAGGGGGCTCATCATACCAATGCTGTCCTCCCGGCCCTGGTCCAAGGCCACTGGCTCCCCCACACCTCGCATCCTCGTCGTACATGTACGTGTCATCTAATAACAGAGCCCCCGAAAGAGGAAAAGGAGAGTAGCAAAAATTCAATCACTGTCAGTTCCAAATTTTCACGGTCAGACGGAGGATAGACACTGGGATGTTTGATGGACATAGGTTTTCAGCATATATGCCCATTGAGAGGGAAAAAAGAGGGTTAGACACAAAAAAGTCTGGGACGCGACGGGTGTTTACGATAACAAGATTAGATGAACAATATGTGGGGCTTCGGTGTCCCTAGCCGTTCGGATATTTTCCCTTTCTTTTTTATTCGTCTAGATAAAAGTCCAAAGGTAAGCGAACGTTGAAAGGAAAATTTTTGCTTCTGGATATTCCCGGAGGAGTTTTTCATGTGTCGAGGAATTGTTCTGTTTACGTACCTCCAGGATTTTGACCTCGACCGTCTCTCCCCAACTGCATTAGACCCTGCCGAATGTCTCTCAGAATCTGAAATAAAAAAGTGGGAAATTGCTCTTGTTATGTAGATAGTATAGTTATTCTTGCTAATAAATTGACAATATGCTTCTGAATGGTTATTTTGCACATAATTTCCTTCTATCATGTATAGTTCATCGTTTATTTCATTTTATTAAGTTGAATAAGATTTCCTTTTACCTAATTTTGTCAGATTTTCAACTTAGTTGAATGTCATCAGCGTCATTATTCTTATTATCCCCNTATTAAGTTGAATAAGATTTCCTTTTACCTAATTTTGTCAGATTTTCAACTTAGTTGAATGTCATCAGCATCATTATTCTTATTATCCCCTTTCTTCTATACAACCGATTGTCTTTTTTGCAGTTCTATCTCTCCCCTCAGCCCTTCGATAAAATGTCAATAGAAAAATTTTATTTACACATACTTGAGTGAATTTGAAACATCACATTTGAAGAAACCATCAGAAAGCTCACTTTCAGGGAAATTCATGAAAAATTCAACATTTTCAAAAATCAACATAAAAATCAAAGCAACCAATATAGCTATCGTAATCGTCTTTTAACGTCGACTTAATGGCATTAAAACAAACATTTTAAGCTATGACTGAATTAATTTGAAGCATGATATTCAAAGATATCCCCGGAATTCTAATTTTCAAAAAATACAAAATTTTGAATAAATCAAAACAACGATTATCGCTATCGCCTTCATTTTCGAACTCGGTCAAAGGGACATCCAACTAAATTTTTTAAGCCATCATTCAATCAATTTGGAACTTTTTTTCAAGTTATAGTGGGACAACGGATTTTCGAAAAAATTCAAAAATTAAGAAAACTAATCGATGAATTAAATTTCAGTAGGGAAGTGGTAAAACGGTTTAAGTCGACTCATCTCCCAGTTGAGTTTTTGAGGAATATTTCCGAATCTAAGGGAGATAGCGAAATTTTCGTGATTACATTTGTTGTAGCATTCAATCGGCTCTACAAAAAACGTTATAACAACAATTTTGCGATCTCCCTTAGGTTCCGAGATATTCTTTGAAAACTGTTCAATAGTCAAAATTAACTTGTACCGTTTTATCACTTCGCTACTGATTTCTTCCACGACTCTCGTTAATGGGCGAATGATCTACTGACTAACAAAACTTGTCATTCTGACTGTAATATTTGCTTAATATGCCACTATGTCTTGTTATTCAAACTTTGAGGGCCCAGGTGGCATAAAAGTTACGATCATTTAATGATATGTATTTTTGACACAATAGAAACAAACATCGATATAAAACTGTGACTTTAATATTTCCTTAATATGACACTATGTCTTTCTTCTTCAAACGTTGAGGGCCCAAGTGGCGTAGAAGTTATGATGATATGGTAATACGAGTGTTTGACACAATAAAAGCAAATGTCGATATAAAACAACTTCACGAAACTTTCATCCCTTACAGCTATAGGATACCTCATCACCGACGAATATAAAGTATTCATGTCCCGCAGAACATTACAACGTGAATAATCTCTCATCATTTACAGAACATCCCCCAATCTCGTTCAAATGACACCGACCGAAATCCTCTCCTCTCATTTCAGTAACAGCCTATCCCCGAAAAAAAAAACACGTCTTGTAATCACCAACGATAGTTCCCTCCCAAGTGCGCCATAACACCTCTCCCCTCGTCCCTCACTTCTTGCCGCAATGTTTTTTTCATCGAGTCCCGTAGTTTTCCCAGAACACGAAGCAAGTTATTTCGGTAGAGCTTTCCCGAGTAATTATCGAAGTTGAGATCGGCCCAGGGGGTATCTGAGTAATGGACGGAGGCGGATTGCTTATACTACAAAAGCCCAAGTAGATGTTTCAACCCCTCAAGGTGAGAGAGAAGTGACTAGTAAATGCGAGAGAATTGTTGGAGATGCTGGCATTGGCAGTGGATAAAAATGCTTGTGGGTGAATTCTCCGGGAGTCCAACGGAAAAATACGAGGGGCCTCTCCTTTTTTTTCTCTCTCTCTCTCTCTCGCTACTCCTGAAGTATGGGAAAATGGTGGAGAAGAGCAGTGAGTTTACTCGAGGGACTCGTAAAGCTGCGGTTGGGAGGTGACACTAAAACTTTTACGGGAATGCCAACCTTTATTTCCATATTGCTTGCAGTCTCAAAGGCAACTTCTTTCCTATTCTGCTCACTCATTTGTCCACTCACTTTTTTCCCTCTCCTTTTGGATGAGCTAGTTCCTACCAATTTCATCGAGCCCACTCACAAACTCGCGAAAGAGGCAGTGACATTTTATTACTTCATTTTTTTTTCAACTTTTTGTTGACAAAGTTTTGTTGTTCCCGGTAATACTGGATTTCTGTCATTGGAGGGGAGAATTTTTCTCTTTTTTGCTCGCTTTCTCTTTGAAATTGTTTGAGGTCGAAAGTTTGTGGAGTGCTTTTAAGCACGATAGAGGCAATTTATTCAATCAATGGAAAATAAAATGAGGGCTCAGGATCGATGGGAAAAAGGGGAAAAAAACGGGAATTCGTTTTGCCGAGTTCTCTGATAAAGTCTTTAGCTTTAGTTTTGGGGATAGGGTGGATAAGAAGTTTTTTGGGGAAGGTGGAAGGTTTTCTAGGCTGAGGTAATCCGGGATAATCTCACTTCTGGACTGGTGTTGAGGTTGTTTTCTGGGGTAAATCCTTGACCGTAACAAGTTTCAACTTTTTGGTGGGGATACGTTTGTGCAAGTGCAGGGGAACAGGGCCGCAGTTTTCACGAATGTGGATTCTTCTTGAAAACATTATGATGTGGACGATTGGTTCTCCGTGACATCGAATTAGCGAATCCACATATTATTGAGAACGGCTGAGTTACGATCTTGTTAGCTTAATGTGTTTCGCACATTTTTTTTAGTTATCGTGGCACAACCGATTTAAAAAAAAAATCAACAATCTAAGAAAATAATCGATTGATTAAATTTTAATTAATGGCGATCGATAGGGCTCAATAAAACCTACATTTGAACAGAAAAAACTCAATTCCATCCATTCATTAGCGAACAATTGAAGAAAAACTTTATAACACACACACGGAGAGACATTTTTGATAAAAATTATCCTACCGTTCTATAAAAGTGTATCATGAGTCATCGTTTCCTCATTTCTATCCCGAAATTTACTAAAAATTAATATATGATGATCAAATTTTATTCTACGTTAGAGAAATTTTATCCTAACGAATAATAAATTTTATCCTGCCGGTACAGTAATTTTTACTCGACCGACACGGTAATTTATATTTTTATCAGGATGAAATTTCTCTAACGTAGAATAAAATTTGTTCATCATATCTTAATTTTTACTAAATTTCGGGATAGCAATGAGGAAACGATGACTCATGATACACTTCTATAGAACGATAGAATAATTTTTACCAAAAATATCTCTCCGTGTAGATATTACACATAGACACATACGTACGAACACTGTCTAAAAATTGCATTTTCAGATTTTTTGGATCATAATGGGTCGATATAGCACAAAAAATCCAAAATTTAAATTTGTAAAAATTTAATCTAAAAAATATCGTGCAGTAGGATACAATGTTATCAACTTATTACAACGTCCATATCATTCACCATCAATTTTCCTCAGTATAAAACCAACATATTCACCTCTCAACTTCACCCCCTCCTCCGCCGCAAATAGAAATACTTGATTCACTCAATCTCATTTCCCCCGAAAGAAGACAATCAGATAAAAATATTTCTGCAACGCAATTGTGCATGCACCGAAATAAACCTGTAATTGAAGTGCTCTCCAAGAAAGGAAAGTAAAAAAAATCACGATAATAATTTCGCGTAACGAATTCATGACGCATCCACATTCGCTTTAAGGACGAATATCATACCCCTCGATCTCTCGATCCACTTTACATAATAAGAGAGGCATCGTAGCTGCTCATATCCCTCCGCAAAGTGTATTACACGTACTATCACGGAATTCCTTCCCGTCGCATGCTAATTTCTGGTTTAAACCAGTGCTAAAAATTGCCTTCTTTTATTTTTCTCGTTTTACAATGTTTATCGCTGCAGTCAAGGCGTTATCAACTCGACATTTCCCTCATTGGATCGATCAATTGAACACGGGAATACGGGGATCATGTAATAACGAAGAATTATGTAATATGAAAAGGAATCTGTTAATCGCGTTGCGTGCATGTGCGAACTGAGCGTGGATAGAAAATACAATTAAGGATGGGGATCAATCACGTGAGTCTTCCACACGTGATGGGATCACATCATTCATATATGTGAATCGATAAGCTCGTGTCTATGTCGTAAATATCGTAATCTGTCGGCATTTCTTCATGATGGAAAGCTCAATTTATCGGTCGATGTTTGTGAAAGGTTAAAAGGGCCAAAACTGCGTTAGATTTTTTGTCATGAGAACTGATAAACGCTCAAAATTACAAAAATTGATAATTTGCAATCTGGGGGTTGAAAATTTTTATGGAGTGACATTCAATGTGAAGACTATTCAAGTTAAGACGTTAGACCCGAAAATGTATCTTATCGACGAACTTCGAGATTAGCGAATTTTTATTCATTTTTTCGGATTTTCCGAGATTTTTTCTGGATTTTAATCGTCTCCTTAACGTTAAAAAAAAATTAATTTTCTCATAAGACTGTGTGATTTTTGCATTTCTAGATTAATTATTATCAATCACTAGGGGGCTACGCCCCCTACTCGCTCCACTCGCCAACCCACATGACCTTTATTTAGACCCTTATGCTGAACCTTCCTTAAACCTCATGACCCTTTTTCTGACCCTTATAACCCTTAATCTGACCCTTGTGAACCTTATTTGGACCGCCATGACCATTATTTTGACCCTTGTAACCCTTAATGTGACATGTGACCCTTAATTTCTGACCATTATTAGACCTCCTTGACTCTTATTTTGACCTCCATGGCCTTTATGTAGACCCTCTTTCTGACTCTTATTTTTATCCTCATAACTCTTATTCTGACCCTTCCTTAAACCTCCTGACTCTGTTTCTGACCCTTGTAATCCGTAATCTGACCCTTGTGACCCTTATTTGGACCTGCATGACCATTATTTTGACCCTTGTAACCCTTAATGTGACATTTGTGACCCTTAATTTCTTACCATTATTTGGACCTTCTTGACTCTCATTTTGACCTCCATGGCCTTTATTCAGACCCTCATTTTGACCCTTATTTTTATTCTCATGACCCTTATTCTGACCCTTGTAACCCTTAATCTTACCCTTGTGACCTTTATTTGGACCTCCACGACCCTTACTTTGACCCCCATGACCTTTATTTAGACCCTCATTCTGACCCTTAGTTTAACCACAATGACCCTTATTCAGCCCCTTGTAACCTGACCCTCATTATAATCCTCCTGACCTTCATTTTTGCCCTTGTCACCCTTAGTTTAAGGGTGACTGAATATTTAATAAAATTGGAAATTTCAACTTTTTTCAACAGTCCGTTAATCGAATTGGAATATTCACAAGAAACTCACCTCTTCGTGTTCTTTGTGGAAGCGCTCTTTTTTCCTCAAAGCGTCCTGCACCTTTAACTGGAAAAAAACCCTGATTGAACGAATCATACATAATAAGAAAGACATCGCAGCTGACTAGAATAAATATTTCCAAATTAGGGAACTTGCATGGAGCTCAGTTTTTCCTAATTTCTCTATTCAGCCATTTTACACAACTCATAGATAGCTGAATGAAAAGAATTATGGAGAAATATTACCTCGCTATTTTATAATAATAGGGAATTGGCACGTTTTTAAAATATTTCTTTTCCTCAAATATATGCCCCCAAGAACCCATATTTGATAAGGAAACACGAAAAATAGTTTAATCATTATTTATTTGCTTTGAAAAATTGCATTTTTTAAAGGTTCTAAAAAGGCCTGTGACGTCAACTCGTTGGAGGCTGAAATTTTTGTGTGGCGCCATCAAGCGGTTTAGTACAACTGCTGGAATCTACGAAAATACTCTGTATGCCATGAGCGATTTCAACGAGTTTAAATTCCACAACTTTTAACAATCAATTATTAATTAACGAACAATATTTATAATGTTCACAAATGAAAAATCAATCATTTAAAGCAAAAAATTGAGATTAAAAAATTAAAAAAAGCTCCTGCAGGTTCCCTATTGAATAAAGAACATCGAACATAAATCGAAAGAAATGGAGCTTTCCCCTGAAAAATATTCGACTGAGGGAAAACTGAATTCAAAGGGAAAATTATTCAATACCATCAATTCACCATTAGTACTCACCCTTTCAAGCCCACATCTCAAATTCAACAGTATTTTTTACCACTGCATCCACAGAGAAATTTTTTCCTGAATTAACAAAAATGCAAATGCCCCAGAAACTAAATTTACTACATTCCGCTTGGCAGACACATTCACGGAAAAAGTTGAGAGACAGACATGAAGGAAGCGAGTCTCATGTGTGTGAAACCACCACCCAGCAACTCTCTGGGTTAAATTTATGGTAATCGTAAAAAGTGTGGCATAATGCGGTGCGATAAAAAGGCCCTGTGTGTCATTTTTTCCTTTAAAAAGAAGCGACTGAATGCGGAGGATTGAAGAGAATCGTTGAACCATGGAGGACTAATGATAAGCTGATAAAACATTTCCAATGGCTTTGGAAGGTTGTAAAGTTCATAGAAAAATGTAGCGAACTTGACAGAAAATTTTATTAAATCTCAATTGAATGTCTATTGAAAATTCTTATAATTTTTGGCTCGGAAAATGTCCAATAGAAACTTTTTCAGAGAGAACATCAGTTGAGCTTCATCTTTGCACACTGAGAGAAACGTTAGATATAAATTACCTAGAAGATCGTGGTAAATTTTACTGTACCAATGGTAATCGTGAAGCGAAATGTAACTCAATATTTTACGATTCGTTCGTAACAACTTTTTCTTTTCAGAAATTTTCTATACACTGGAGAAAAACAAACACGTTGTCTTGTTTGGGCCAACAAAATCGCTAGTTGAAAATTGCCAAAAAAGAATTTGTGTGGTTCGAATTGGAAAGTCTCAAACATGAATAATTGTTTTCGACAGCAACGAAATATTTGGCTCAAGAGGCGGACAATTCACACCAGACAGTGCCATTTCAGGATGAAAATATCTCATATAGAGGAAAATTTATCAACAAATATTTAATCCCTAAGTTACAAAATTGCTATCATATCATTATTATAAACTACTATCCCTTGTTTCGCATAAAACAAAGATTTTTTGGGAGCAACATACGTATGGGAGTATCGAGTAACGAAGGAGTAATGCTAGAAATGACATTTCTTGAGTGTACAGAGAATGAAATTCTTTCTTAAACTACTAAATCTATTTCTGCGACAAAAATTTTTCTTCCGGTGCACTCTCTACATGTTTGGCACAAAAAATCCTTTTTTGATAGTTCTCAAAAAACTATTTTCTTGGCACAAGTAAGACTTGTTTGAGAACTGTTGTTTTTCTCTCAGGGTAGGAATTCCTCGATATAAATTATTCAAGTATTTTTCTACTCTATTATTCTTCCCTTTCATTGAAAATATCAAACGAAAAAACTTGGAAAATTTGAGCCGAGGAATTTTTATGGAAAATATTTCAACAGAACAAGTTCCATAAAACATCAAGAGAATTCGAGTTTTCTATAGAATATTTTTCATTGAACAGTTTCACTTAAAAAATGTGCAGATAAGGTATAAGATTTTTCAATAGAATCGCCCAAAAACTAACAGGAAGGTCGAGAAAAATTTAATAGAATTGTCTGGCAATTTTGTCACATTTTTCTATGAAATTTCTTCGGACGTGAGTCGTAAAAAATAGGTGAATATTTGATGAAGTACCCTGTGAATGGTTTCCTCGAAGCTGTTGGCCTGTCCCCCATTCATCTGAAAATACTTGAGCCTGTCGTAATCCCGGGGATCCACCATAGACCTCAGGATGGTGTGTCCCATATCAGAGCCCAACCCGAGGCCACTCTGCAGTACACTGTCTGGTGTATCCACCTAAAATCAAAGAACACGTGGGTGAGTGCATAATCTCCTACAGTTCTGTAGTTTTTTTTAATGATTTCGAGTGATTGGATCACTGAGTGGAACTTTGGTTCATTCTGAGAAAATTTTCATTGAAAATCAGGGGGGAAAATGTTCTTATTGTGCAACATTTTCCAACAACACATGAATATTCAGTCCTGAATTATGGTGAATTTTGAATTATTTGAGAATTCAAGAATAGATTAACTGGAATTTCTGATTTGTTAATATTTATTGAATAATTGAAGTGGAATTCACAGTTTCCAGTGAATTTTCCGTAGAATTCCAAATTTCCAATGAAGAAATTCCTTAAAATTTCAGTGAAATTAGGATGTATAGTCAAAATTCCCAAAAAGTCTAGCAGAAATTTCAGTCAAAAATATTTAATCTAGTATATAAATCGAGGAATATGATTTGTATATAAAAAGGGCGGAAATTAATGTACTCATTCAACCAAAAAATTTGGTAAATTTCGCACAAAAAAAATTCTTGAACTTCTTTGAATATGTCTCTGATTATTGGTGATCTATCACTGAAATTTTGTGATAGATTCTGAAATCTCCCATTAAAAAAATATATGAAACAAATATATAATATCGGCCAATTCCATACATATTTTTTAAATTTATAAAAAATACATATAAAACGTATATTTTATGTATTTTTTTCTATAAATCGGGCCAATTTAAGATATTTTTAAATATATCTTTCAAAATAAAAAATTTTCCGTGTGGGATCATTCGAAGTCAATTGCAGTCACGAAATCATGTCGCGATCCACTTGCAGTCATTGATTTCATTTCTCCCCGAAATGACTAAAATCACACGGATGAAAAAATTTAATAGAAAAACTTATCGAATTCGTTAAAAAATTCTATTGAATTCCTATTGAACTATTCTATTAGTTTTTGGCCGATTCTACTGAAATGTTCAACAGAAAATATTCAGTAGAAAAAGTCAATAGAATTTCCTCGGCTCAAATTTTTTTCGCTTGATTTTCTTGATGAGAAGAAAAGAAAAATAGAATGAAAAAAACTTAGAAAATTCGAGTCGAGCAAATTCTATAGAAAATATATGAAAAGAATAAGTTATATAGAAAAATCGAATTCTGACTTTTTCTATTGAATGTTTTCTATTGAACATGTCAATAGAAGTAGTCAAAAACTAATAGAAAATTTAAGAGAAATTCAATAGAATTTTCTAACGAATTCGATAGGTTTTTCTATTAAATTTTTTCGTGCGTGCAGCCCTGAAATCACGTGCAGTCGACTTCATTTCGAAATCATGGTGCCACTCAATCAGGGAGTGAGTAGCCCCTCGAACATGTTCCTGAAAATCTGTGACACGTCTCCAAAAAATCAAATTTCTTTCACTCTATGCCGAATTTCGCACTTTTCAATTTCACAATCGCGAATTCCTAATGATTGGGGATAGATCTTTAAAAATTAGGGATGAATCCCTAAAAATCAAAACTATTTGTCCTCTGCTTTGACCAAATGCATTATTTACATCCAGAAGTCAACCCGCCATTAATTATCCCGCTGAAAAATCCCATAAATCATTCAGCACCGACAAAATGAAATTTATTCATTCAAAGAAAGATACGAGATTGAAAGGAAAATCTCCATCTCGTGTCTGCGCCATCTCTATCACCCAGAAATGCGTGTTCCACCGGGGACAGTAATAGCGAGCGGCAAGTGAAACTCAGTTGGGCTCAGTTCTCTCCTTATATTCAGGTTGCCTGAATAATTAAGATGAAATGAAAATGAGAGAGAAAATGTGGGAAGTGGGTGGAAGTAGTTTCTGATGTGGGGAAGAGGAAAATGTAGAATCGAGGAAGGGGATGGGGTGGATATAACTACTCCAGACAAAGCATCAGCCCGAGTATTTGTAAAAGGGGGCGGGGAAATCTGGCTTTCACAAAATTATCAAGAGATACTGAAAGGCAAGGTTACAGGTAAAGACGAGATTCTTTGAAAATTTGCAATTCTAAATTATCCTGAATTTTCGATTAATGAAAAATTCAGCAATATATTTTACTTGAATTTCCCTTATTTGTATTACTATTTATGGGATAATTAAAGTGAATTTTACAGTCTCCATTGATTTATCGGTAAAAGTTTAAATTTTTAATGACGCAATTCCTTAAATTTTCAGTGGAATTATAATGTGATAAAAATTTCCAAGAAGTATACCAGATATTTCAGCGAAAAATATTCAATCTTGTGAATGAAATGAGTAATACGATTTTTACATATAAAGGGCGGAAACTGATGGAATTATTTCATGAAAAAATTTGGAAAATTTCGCACAGAAAAAAATGTTTGATTTCCAGGAATATATCACTGTTGTCTAGGAATCCATCGCCAACTATTGGTGATACCGGACACGGAATAGAAAAATCCTGATCACCAGTGATTTCTATAACTGAAATTTGGTGATAAATTCCTAAAAATGAAGCTGAAAATTAGTAAAGTAGTGAAGTAGTTTCGGATGTGAAGAAGAAGAGAATGTGGAATCGAGTAAGGGGATAGGGTGGATATAACAACTTCAGACAAAGCATCAGCCCGAGTATTTGGAAAAGGGAGCGGGTAAATCTGGCTTTCACAAAATTACCAAGAGACACTGAAGAGTAAGGTTACAGATGAAGGGGAGATACTTTGAGAAATTTCAAGTCACATTCTGTTTGGAGAATGAAACGATAACGGACTTTGAATATTCCGTAAGTTGAAATACATTCGTGAGGGGAGGATTGTTTCACTATCGTCAGTCGTGACTGCTCAATACTGATTAGGATCCGGAGGTTGAAACAGAATTCCAGAATTTATTGGACAATCATTGAAAAAATTCACATGAATTTGGTTTATTGTTTGCTCCGAGAACCGGAGGATTGACATTTTATTCCACCCTTCGTGCGCAGTCCTCTTGATTCAGCATGAACAAACAGAAGAAAGTCAAATATTTCGCTGAACCAATCAGCTGTATCAACAGTTAGAAAGCATCCCGAATGAATAATTCCATCTTCAACCACAGCGAGAAAAAAAATTATTTCTGCGAAATATCCATTCACTTGAGAAAAGTATTTATCTATTTTTTCAATACGAGTCATTTCCAGACAATCCTAATTAGGTTTCAATTATGACAATTATATTGCTCTAAAAGATCACTAAAAAAATCGGCCTGAATCAAACTGAAAAATCGCTTTGAATCAAGTCTGACTCGGAGAGATGCAAACCGGTACATGAGTCTAATTCAAGTTCATTTTTCGACTTGATTCAAGTCGATTGTTCAGCTTGATTCAAGTCAATTTTTCGACCACCTTATCTGTGACTTCCTAGAATCATCTTGAATCAAGCCAAAGAAGCGACTTCAATCAAGTTGAAAAATTGACTTGAATCAATTCAAAAATCGATTTGAATCAAAATGGAAATCGACTTGAATGAAGGCGAAAATCGATTTAAATTAAAACGGAAATCGACTTAAATCAAGCCGAAAAATCAACTTCAATCACGCCAAAAACCGACTTGAATCAGTAAGTTTTTTTTTTGAGTGATTATCATGTTATTAATAACCTGGAGTTAAAAAAATAATAATCATTAGAGGATTTATCCAAAGTCATGTGCAACATGGTCATCTTTTATAAACCAACATGATTGTCATCATTGAAACCTAATCAGAGTCGCCTGGGAATGACTCAAAAGGAGAAATACGACTTGGAAAAAAAAATGTTTTCTCAGTGCAGAAAAATGAAGGAGAACATCTCATCGTGCCCGCATGCCACCCAGAGGTCGATTAATTCTTTCAATTGTTATCTCTGGGCTGATTCACCAGGCAATAGATATCCAATGGCTACACGCTCGTGACAAACGCAATTAAGTACCTGGCGTTACCCATTCTCCACTTTCAGCTCCATTCGTTCATTCGTGTGTGATTTTTTTTACACATTTCTTTTTGCTCTTTTATCTTCAAGAGCCATTTCGTTCTTTTTAACTCTCTACCACCTATCACGCTTTTATCTTGTGATCTTCCGCTTCCTAGTCGGCGTTAAAAACTCGTGGCCACATTCAAACCCCTCCACTCGGTACACGGTGATTCCGATATCGCATCACGCCACTATTCGAACTGCTGGCGTTCCGCACGATTCCGTTCGCATTCACAGGCGACAACGGTGGATGAAGATTTTTTTTCCAGTTGTTTATTTTTTTATTTTTGTCGTTTTGCTGTTCATTGAGAGGTGGTGGATAAAGAGGAAGAAGAAAATGGTGGAACAATTCATGGGGGATCGATCTTTTTTTCGAAATATGCAGGCTTGCTTGATTCTTTATATTTTTGGTATCAATCAATGGATTGAATTCGCTAAAATCGATAAAACACTTGAGTTTTCCCTAAAAACTCATGAATTCCCTAGAATTCTACCTAAAACGTCAAATTTCATAACTATTTTTCCTCTAAATCGTATTCAATGTTGCTCTCATGAAAATTAGTACCAGATTTTCCATGAAAATTCGAAAAATTTCTAACAGTGTACTAATCATCTCCTAAACTGTGTAGTACAGCTAGTTAGCATTTTTTTCAACAGCTGGCGACTATTATAAACATTATCTATGAAAAACATTGTGACAATCTTAACACAAACGTGATTTCTACGGATATACCTTAAATCAGGGAACTGTATTTTTTACTAAAAATTTCCCTCTGCACGGAGAGAAATGTTCAGTAAAAATGACGGAACTCATAATTCACTCACCGATTACGGAATTGACTCTGAAAATTTAAGTGACGGTATCATAATTTTTCACGGGAGGGTCAGATAAAAATTAAGGAACGCTCCGGAAAGATTCCGTAACAGTACCGTAAAATTTCCTACAATCATATTTCGCTCCAGAATTACGGAAAAGATACGCAGTTTTTATTAAATATTTCTCTCCGTGTGAGTTACATCCAATGAATCCAAACTGTAGGAATTGATCACCC